TGTATTTTTGTGTGTGTGTGTGTAGGCAATATTCTTACCTGTTCATTACTTTAAGTATAGTTATCCACATTCACATTTAAATAAAATGCCATTAAAAAAACGGGTTTCCTTTTTACTGCTACCGCCTTCTTCTCAGAAAATAACTTGACTTCATTATCAAATGTAAAAGAATAAACAGCGTCATTCACATGTTACTTGGTAGAATTTAGCTGTTTCTCTCTCCCTTAAAAGGTGCTAAATATAAAGTAATCATTTTGGACAAACAGGGATTTAGGTTGAGTTCTTGCTAAGTATGAAGCAAACAACATCTTCAAAAAATTGCATTGTCTGCTTTTCCAAGAAGTTATTCCTGGTCTTGTGATACTCAAGTTTATGCTGCAAAATCATTAGGGGGTGAATTGCTTTTAATAGTAGTTACCCAAGCTCTATTCCTATACTGATCAGTTTCCTTTTGTCCAACAGCTTCTAATTAGCATTGGAGACAATAAAGATTCTACGATGATTTGACTTAGATAAGTATTTCACAATCAAAAGAATAAGGTGGACTCTTTCTATGAGTAGTACTTACCACATAATTCCCCTTTGGATGTTATTTTAATCTATGTAGTGAGAAATTTTTGAAAATATGATTTTTAAAGATAATAAAGCTATGAATAGCAGTCTTCATGTACAGCTACACAGCTGTATGTAGACAACTGCATGTATAATTATGAAAATAAATCATCTGCCTATGCTTAATACTATGTTAGGTGCCATGGACAAGGCAGAATGAAGGCCTTTAAAATTTATATTGATTTCTGGGAAACTATTTTAAAATAAACATCATAAAATCATTCAGAAAGAAAAAGGCAAGATCAATATTTAGAATCAATACATAGCCATTATTTTGCTTTTAGTAGTGACCAACATTTCTGTTTTATATTTGTTTTCTGTAATCCTCTGACTTTATTAGGTGAATGTCTGATTCACTTAATCTTTCAAGAGGCTCTAAGAGCAGTAAACTCAAACATTTAGTAAGTAGAACAGAGTCAGAGAGATGACAGAAGCTTGTTTGCGGATGCCATTTTGGAGTGGACCCACCCACTTTCCAACCAAGGATACAAACACAAAACATTTTTATGTCCTACCTGAAGACCAGCAGGGCTCAGTGTTTCCTAGGAAAGACAATTATGTAAAACTTTATGATTTGTATCAGTCAAGATTCCAAGAGAAAACAGATGGCACATTGAAATTAGGATATGTTGAAGTAGTTTTCATGGACAAAGGAAATAATGAGAAAGGTAGGGAGATGGTATAAAGAACCAAACAGGTTAGTTCTGGGACATGAACAACAGCCAGGGGTTGTCATCCTTAGGTCTGAAAGAGGGAGAGTTTAGTGACACGTGGAAGGAGGGAATCCCTTAGTAAAGGTGAGACTGAGAGGAGCAGTGACCTCTAGGGGGTACTCAACCATCAGGGTGATATTTTGCATGATCTTTCTGTATAATTTGCAAAATTTTCAAGATTTTAATGGTAAAATTGAATTACCCTTATTTTAAAAAGTTGTCTTCCTCACAGCACAGTGTGGTTGTAAGCCTGTCGTGACATTGTGCCCCTATACAACCTCCCACACATAAACATGAGACTTCTGGCCACCAACAGGGAGGGAGGGCCTGCTCTGTGGCTGCCAGGCATTTCCACATATGAGTTTAAAGACATGAAGGGGATTACATTAACCTTAGAATGACATGTCATATAGTTAAGTGAAAAATATTTCTTTAGAATGAAGACTCTGAAGAAATGTGTCAGATTTGTAGCAAAGCGGAAAATCATATCTAAAGGTTTCTAATTATTAGTCCTACTATTTCCATGAAAATAACTTTGTGATTTCCCTGTTCAAAAGTGATCATGAATTTGTGCCTTAATCTATCCTAGAAAAGTTTCTCTGTGCCTAGGAATGTGGTTCCAGGAATAGCCTTTAAGTGACACAGATAGAATTTTCCTGAAAGACAGCTGTCCTCAGACCAATTTATCACAAGCCTGCAAACGTGGTACAAAACACTAATAGATTACTGAGAGCATTTTTGTTATTGTGATTAGATATTTCTTAGCTGCAAAGATCCATTCATGTGGACAAGTGCAGCTCCATTTTTTTTATTTTTTTATTTTTTTAAATTTTTTTTTAAACAGAGTCTTGCTCTGTCGCCCAGGCTGGAGTGCAGTGGCGCATCTTGGCTCACTGAAAGCTTCGCCTCCTGGGTTCACACCATTCTCCTGCCTCAGCCTCCCAGGTAGCTGGGACTACAGGCGCCCGCCACCGCGCCTGGCTAATTTTTTTGTATTTTTTTTAGTAGAGACGGGGTTTCACCGGGTTAGCCAGGATGGTCTCAATCTCCTGACCTCGTGATCCACCCGCCTTGGCCTCCCAAAGATGCAGCTCCTTTTAATAGGGGTCAGTTTGCCTAACGATTACTTTTAAATTAAAACTTTCTTATATCTTAGGTCAGTATTTTCCTAGCAGAAATGCAGCAGTACTATATGTTTCCACTTTATGAATGTTAATTTAAAAATCATTAAACATTTAAATATTTTTGTGAAACCTTTAGTTAGTATAATTTTATAACCTTGTTTGGTGACTTTTCTCATCTTAGGAAGATGAAAGCTATTTTTTTCCCATTCCTAAGGCAAAGTCTACCATGTAGGGCTTTTTCTACCATATTGTTGAGAGTTAGAAAAGAATTTGACATACTTTCATATAATGTTCCAAGGAAGTAAACTGGAAACTGACACCCATACAGGTGCTTCTTCATGCTGCAGCAGTTTGACGGGCAAATAATATATCTAACTTGAACCTGTCCCAGGGGTCTCAGAAGGGATCCATTGGATTCCTTTGGTGACACAAGTGCCTCTGGCATAACCAAAACCCGTGCTTTGTGTATGTGCACAGGAGACATGACAATGAATTTGTATTAACGAGGGACAGGGCAAAGAGAAGAAGCACTGATGCATTTCCTGAAGTATTTTATTCGGTGTATTCAATGTCAAATTTCACAAATGTCCATGAGAACAATATTTACTGGCCAGGACACTAAAATATGCCCTGGATATGATACTAAGAAATATCATCACCTTGTCTTTGAAGAATTTGTAATCAATTTGTGAAGACTTGATTTACACATAGAAAATGGTTATTAATAAAGTGATTTAGAAGAAGATAAAGGTCAAATTAGAGACCAAATGTAGAGGCTGCATTATTTTTAAATCACAAATTTCTGCTGAGATGCAAAGTGTAGCCCAGCAATCCTATTAAGATTCTCTAGTAATGACAACTAAGATTCCCTAGAAGGACAACCACTTTTCTCTGCTAAAAATCTCTAAATACCTGTCTCATTCTCATTTGTTGACATTGTCTTATTCATCCTCGAGAATATAAAAGCAACAAGAATAGAAACATCACTGCATCTTCCAATCACCGGATCTAATTCCATATACCTCCTGCACACACATTCTCTTCTTCCATCTTGGTAAATGCTCCTGTGTCTGCCTAAGCTAAATCCTTCAACTTGTGCTTTAGATGGACCTCTTCTAGTCTACTCTGGAATTAGCTCCCTTCCCTTGAAAAAATGATTTTTCTCCCAAACCGATCATTTCCATTGACATACAAATGCATTTTAATTGTATTGTTTTCTATATTTTAACCAACAGAAACAAAAATCCAATGCTCCCTTGATTCTTGGTCTTCCTTCAGTTACTACTTCATTTTCCTGTTTACCTTGGCAGCAAAATGGGACCTTTTGCCAGGCTCAGTCTCCAAGGTCTCCTGGTCATTTTTCCTTCCATACAGCGTTAGGGAGCTTCTCTCCTGGCCTGTCTATTGCAGGGAGGTTATTAAAGACAACAGAGATTTCCATTCTGCCAGAACGGTCAGTTCTCCCTCTCTTATTTGAATTCTTAGTAGCATCTGGCCTGGCTCACCAGGCCCCTACCTCTTGAAATGCTTTTTTTCTCTTCATGACACTGCCCTCCTGGCTTGTCTTAGGCTTCCTTGTCTCGAGCTCTTTTTCAGCTCCTTCATTGGCTTCCTTTCTTAGATCAGCTTTTATGTGTTAGAATTCCCAGGGCCCAAGCCTTAATTCTTTTCTTACTTTTTTTTTTTTCTACTTTTAAGCCTCAGGTGATCTCATCGGGTCTCCTGATTTTAAATACCATCTTCATTAGGATGGTGTGAAAGTCTGACTGAGTCATTTTTCCTGCCTCTGGAGGTGACAGAATAGTGCAGAGATTTCAGCTAAGAGAGCACATTGCTGAGAATAAAGTCATTAACTTCTCCAGGGTCAATTTCTAAGCAAGCCCAGTTTTGGTACGAGAGTGCTATGTTACAGGGGGCAAGAGTGTTGGGACCACTCAACATCAAGATGGTTCAAAGGAGAACTAAGAATGAGAATGGAGTTGACTTTGGGGAAAATGCAGGGCACCCAAGTTCCTTTATATAAATTTACAGGAATCTGAACTATCCAGGCTGTACTATGTGGGGACTGATGATTGATTATCTCTATGTAAAAAGTGGTTCTACTTTTGGAAAAATGACTAGATAGCATTTGATTGTGGAGTGAGGGTAGAATCAGAAGCATTTGACAAGCAGTCTGGTGTGGAACAATCAGAATTGGGCTGCCTTTTGTTACAAGCATTAACTTGGGGCAGGTTTGAGAAAAAGAAGCTACCAGAAATATTCACAGGTGTTGCCATTTTTGGCAATCAGAACTGCATTCACAGCTGCATCTAAATCGGTTTTTTACCTCTAATTGGTTATTTAAGCAGCACTTAAAGCTGCTGCACTCATTCAATCTACTGCTCTGGAATTTCGCCAGGCCCTCCTGCTTGCAGATCAGAGAGTCCTCTTAGGCAACTTAGAGGATGATGCTCTGCATCAGATAAATTCTAGGTGGGAATAATTAACACATTATGACACATCTCGCAGCGGTCTCCGTGTCTGCCTGACTCTATGTTTCTCTCATTTCCAGGTATCCTCCTCTCACCTTCAGTGCCCAGATGCAGGAGGTAACTCCCTGGTGAGGAAGACCTAAGTATACGGCCATAGATTCATAAGGAAAATGGAGAGAAAAGTGCTTTTACCAGTGATAAATTTGAGAAAATCTTTCAGATGAGATACTCTAAGTTTATTTGCTTGTGTTGTTTTTGTTTCTGTGTTTGGTAACATGATTCCCCTCCCTGACCCATGATTACTTTATAAAACTTAATGTGCCAGTCAGGCATGGTGGTGCATGACTGTAATTCAGTTATTCCAGAGGCTGAGTCAGGAGGATGACTTGAGCCCAGTAGTTTGAGGGTGCAGTGAACTATGATTGCACCACTGCACCCCTCAGTCCATGAAGCATTATAAATGCCATCCTAAAATGACCAGAAATGTACTTATGGCATGTTTTATTCAGTCCAAAAAAAAAAAAAAAAAACCGCCAAGCACATTTAATTGACTACTGATGATACTATAATGTTTTTAACAGGTAAGACCACACAGAATAGTAATAAGTTCTGTCTTTTCCAAATCATGTAAAATCTCAGAAATAGGCTTTCCTCCAAATAAATCAGCCTGGAAAAACTTCGAGTGATTGACCCATATTAAATGGAGTTTAAAAAACCCCCAAACCCTTAATATGCCCATGATACCTTTTATTTTATTTTTTATGGTGTATTTATTTATGTATTTATTTGTTTGTTTATTTTTGTGATGGAGTCTTGCTCTGTCGCCCAGCCTGGAGTGCAGTGGTATGATCTTGGCTCACTGCAACCTCTGCCTTCCAAGTTCAAGCGATTCTCATGCCTCAGCCTCCTGAGTAGCTAGGATTACAGGCACCTACCACCATGCCCAGCTAATTTATGTATTTTTAGTAGGGACGGTGTTTCACCATGTTGGCCAGGATGGTCTCGAACTCCTGACCTCAGCTGATCCTCCTCAGCCTCCCAAAGTGCTAGGATTATGCGTACGAGCCACCATACCCAGCCTCATTCTATTTTAAATGTTAAAAGTAACACAATATGCCGTACCTTTTTGTACATGATTCAAGGTCTTAATAAGCTTTTAAAATAGGTGTTTTTTTTCTGAGGTAAATAACCAATTTAGATGAAGTGTGAATAAATACCAGAATTAAAACAATGTCTGCAGAGTAGGACTAGGCAGTTTTAACTGTTCCTTTCGTACCTTCTGCCTGTTTGAATGTCTATTTCTACATGTATGAAAACTAACCATAATAACTCTGCCAAAAACACCTACCTCAATGTGGCCCTTTTCTTTCATAAGATTTTAGCTCCTTTTAGTATAGGTCAATCACTGGAAGCTTTTCTAGGTTTATTTATGTGGAGGAAGGCCTATTTCTGAGATTTTACATAATTTTGAAAAGGCAGAAATTATTGCTATTCTGTGTGGCGTCTTACCTTTTAAAAATATTGTAGTATTGTCAGTAGTTAGCGAAATGTACTTGGCAATTTTGGGAGGACTGAATAAAACCTGTTATAAGTACATTTCTAGGTATACTAGGACAGCATTTATAATTTCTCATGGGCTGAAGGGCCAACACAATGCAGTTAGCATATTTTATCTTGTAGAAACCTAAACTTTAGATTCTACTGTGCTTTCTTGTTCCTTATGTCCCCTTTCTGGTTCTCACCATTTTATCCAAGACAGAAGGTTTTGGATCCCTTAAGTCCTAATGTGACTTCCCCGGTCCTTGAGGTTGACCCTCTGGGAGGCCCCTTTCTATCATACTCTTTGTACTGTCACAACACATCCTGACTTAGAGAATGTGTTCACCATGAACTCTTGAAGTTATAGTCCCTTCGTAGGACTAGGAAGACCTGGAAGTCCATCCAGCCTCAACTAATAAGAATTCAGAGGACAAGAAAGGTAGACACAGAAAATTTCTTTTTCTGAAGCACTAAATGGAGCCCTGAAGAACACTTTCTGTGGGATCTGCCAGTCGATTGAGCTCTTTATTTCCTTTCTAGGGAGGAAACTTCAGACTTCATTTTTATTGTCCAGCAGTGACCTTATTATTATCTTCCTATTGGAGCTTTCCCGTATGGTGGGATATAGTGGAATGTGGGCAGGGATAACCCAGTCCAGAAAGACTGGCTGAGACTGGAAGCTCATTTGCATGTGTGTTCTACTATACAGCGTACCAGGCATCTCTCTAAAGCTTGCTTGTGTCATATAACAGAGAGGTGACAATTGCTAGGAAGCCTTTGAACAGCCTCAGGGATGCTCTTCAAAGATCCAGTCCATGAAAGTGGAAAATATTTGTTTTATGTCTGACGTTAACTCTACTAATTTTTGTCATTAAGATATTCCTCACTAGAATGATAAATGTTAAACAATACTTTCTCAATAATATACTGAATTTTATTTAATTTTTTAAAAGAACTTGATTTTTGTTGGTGTATATAAAAATAAAATTTGTAAAAATGAAGAGACTTCATTACAAATCAAATTTTCTTAAAAAAATGAGAGTGTATAGTCCTGTGTTTACTCAAAACGCATCAATGAGATTTGCTAACAATTGTGTAATTTACCAACAATGATAATGATTTACTGTCATTATAATATGTGAATTTAAGATTAATTAAACGTACTTAGTTCTGTCATGTAGTTCTTTGTAGCAGAATTTACGCCACGGCATGGTTTCCTCCTATTTAAAAAATCAATGCACTGGAAAACTTATAAATAATGTATTTCTGTAGGATTTGTCAACCACACTTTCATAAATGCATTCTAGTGTATGAGAAAGGGCCCGGAGGAGAAAAAATGATTCAATCAGTGACAATGGAGTTACTGACGGATACCAACTGAAATACTGTCACATAGGCAACTACAATTTACATGTACTCAAATGTCTTATTAGTTTCAAGGAGAGGGTTTTATATTCAGGCTGACACATTTTTCTTAGAACTGCTGAGGATGTGACTTTTCTAAATTTCTGAGAAATTTATATTTTAAAAGCTGGTCTGTGCTACTGCACGTTTCATTTTCAAGGGTAGGAAGATATTTGTTTACTCTAGTCCTACTTGGGCAGGGAATCGTAGTAGGCAATGCAGGTGTATGGTGGTACCTGTGTGTCAGGGTGTGTGCAGGGGTGTTCTTGCGTCACTGTAAAGGCTAAACTATTTAAGGTCTTTGGAATTTTTGAAATACGTTAAGTCCTGTATTTCTTTTTCTTGAGATTTTCTCAAGAAACTCGCATGATGATATATTGCTATAGAATATTTGGGGGACAGATATGTCATAATTGTGAAGTAGGTACCGCATATGTGTTGACTACTAATAGAATTGAAAACTTGGCATTCCCAATCACAATTCCTAACCTCCAACTTTTTGGGGCTTAAGAGGAAAACAAAATAAAAATTAAAAACCAACATTTTAAAAATCTGCAATCTAAAAACTCTGCGTCGCCTTATTGATTGGGTGGATTCTTAACTTGGTACAAGCAGTGGGCTGAATGGTGCTTCCCCTCCCCAAAGATTCTCCACTCAGAGCCTGTAAATGGGACCACATTTGGAAAAAGCATCACTGCAGATGTTATTAGGTTAAGGGTCCAGAGATGAGATCATCCTGGAATATCCAGATGGGCCCTAAATCCAGTGACAAGTGCCTTTATGAGAGAAAGGCGGAAGACATTTGAGGCATAAAGACACAAAGAGGAGGCAGAGATTGACCAAGAAATGGCCGGAACTGCCAGAAGCTGGACGAGACAAGGAATGGACTCTTTTTTAGAACCTTGGGAAAGAGTGTGGCCTTGCTGACAGCTTGATTTCAGACTTTTGGCCTCCAGAACTGTGAGAGAATAAATTTCTATTGTCTTGAGCCGCCCACTTTGTGGTGATTTGTAACAGTAGCCCTAGGGAATGAATACAGGGCATATGATATGTGTAGGTAGGTCTATTTTACACTAAACTGAGGATAGGACTTTACTCACCTATTTCCTTTGGGGTGTACTTATGCACACTACCATATGATTTCTGTTGCAATTTTATCTCCAATTCATATCACTAAAAGATTAATATTGCAAATATGATAAAATTATCCTAAGACAGCTCCCAAATCTAAAACTACCCTACCTTCTTTGGATAGAGGCAAGTTCCTGTGGTCACCACCTGGGAGTACCCTAAGTCTGTGACACTGGCTTCTATATGTCAAACTTTGTATTTTGGTATCCTCAAATTTACTTCAAATGTGAAAAATTTTTAAAAACAATTTGTGCAAATCTTAGAATAAAAATTAATGTAGAATAAACTATATATAACTCTGATGACACAATGGCACAATTTCATGGTGTATAACCTACAAGGCATATAAAGTGTTAAAATATCTTTGTAAGATAGTCTCATCTTTATGTTCTTCTTTCATCTCCAGATGTAGGCCTATGGAGGATTATTTTTATCCTCCCAAGATTCCCACTTTTGAGGCAGTACAAATTCCTCCCAGTCTGAACCAGGATTTCTCACCAGTTGTGTAATCTGTATCTGAATTCTGAGTTTTCTGTCTTTTAGGCTCCCTGAGTCTCCAACAAAGAACAACACCTGGGATTCCCTCCTTCGTCCTTCCTTCCACATTCCCTCTTCTTCTTTCTCTACTTTTTCCTCCTCTATCTCCTTCATTCTAATATATTTGTCATGCTGTCACAGGCCATTAGAGCAGCCCTTCGGTTCTTGCTTATGTTTTCATTTTGCTCATCCTTTCATTTCTCTCTCTTTTTCACTCCTCCTCTGTAGGAAATTTTAAAGATGTTTGACAAAACTAAGATGTCCAGGTCTTATTTCTTCCTACCTTTGTCCCTTCCCTCTGCACTGTCCCTGGCATGTCTCCCACCATGGGTCACCTCTTTTATTTTAGAGAGATGAAGGAAAGCACAGACAGGTAATTCCAAGTTCTTGACTTCAGTTAAGTTGAACATGGGTAGCTTAATCCATCCTACATTTTTATTTTGAGAGAAGAGGGATAAGAGTCCCAACTTCAAAAGTGAATGCAAAGCTCTCCCACCCCTCTTGCTTATATTAGTTGTGCTCTCTCAGACATAAAGGAATAGAGAAGTCGGGAGGTCACCAGGAATGACAGGTGTCTCCTAGAAGGATGCCTGCCCTCTCCATATTCTTGACTCCTCCAGGAGCTAAGCACAGGTCTGTTGGGCTTTCTCCCAGGCGGGGGTCTGCCAGTATCCCTGTGTGGCTGCCTCTGGGCTAGGCACTGAAGCCTCCAAGCACGTGGCTGCCGTTGAAGGTGTCCATGGCAGAGAGCATGGCAGCTGTGCTCAAAGATGAGCTGAACTTTTGGCGGCTTCGTTCCCAAGGGGCCACGGGCATGACTGCACCAGGCATTTCATGGACTGCCCTCTGGCTCACTATTCCTCCCTGTTATGTGCAGTGTCCCTCTCTCCTGCAGCCACTGACACCTACCCAGTGAGGCAGCTGTACAGATTAGAAATAATATATGCAAGGGCCTGGCAGGCAACTAGTGACAACACTTATTACTTTGATTTCCTATCTCTTTCCACTGTAGTTAACCTTTCCAATCTGAAAAAAACTTTTGCATTCTT